TAATAATTAAGAAGGGAAGATTGATCGTTAACATCTTGTCCTTCTTGTCGGGTGTCTGGTGAAGCTTGCACCCCCAATCTCTTCGAACAGTTTATCGAGCAGTGTCCAGAGGATCCATCGAATACGGCTGCCAGGTGTTTCAATTCCAGCGCAATCGGACGCTATCAGGAATATCGAATTTCCATCCCGATCAACATAATGTTGGCAGAGGCTAAGGAGGCCCCTTTAAAGACCAGATTCAAATTGTTTTCGTCAAGATTCCTACTGAAAAATTTTTTGAAGAGCAGCAATCCTATGATTAATAGTCTTCGTCAATTAGAAGACACTATACGCAGCAGACGGAAAAGAATATATATATAAAGGCTCTACATTGCATTCCTATTTTTAAACAATATATTTTAAGCAAGCATTTTGAAGGACACACTAAATGCTCGGCCTTCCTACCTGCTTTTCTGTACTCATATAGTGTATCTATTTTCACACACGAATACAAAGAGGTGACCCATGTCGACAATTCCCCCACCCCCAGAGAGTTCATTTCAACTAAATTCTAAGAATTCCTACATACCTTCCCTTCAGAATCTGTAATTTTTTACACGGATGGTTTCAAATCAGACACAGACAGTCCCACAGGGGTGGGCATTTACTTTCCAACATTGCAGCTGAATCACTCGTACCGCTTTCCGGCGGGCACCTCAATTTTTACTGCAGAAGCCTGGGTATTGCTGGTTGCTGTGAAGATGATCTGCGAGGAGCACTGTTTTAGAGTTGTTATCTTCACTGATTCAAAAAGTGTCTTAGAGGCTATCGCGTTACCTAGAACTAACCAACGGTAACTATTTGGTGTACGCTCTTAAAAACCAATTACATCTGGCCGCCTCTTCGGGTATGCGGATTAACCTTGCCTGGATTCCCTCTCATAAAGGTATCCAAGAAAATGAAAAAACTGACGAACTTGCCAAATTGGGAGTTAGAAATGGTACTCGGATGTACATCAAGATTCCACACACTTGCTAAATCTATTTTTACTAGACAGTTCCGGGACTACCTTGATGGTGAATTTTTGCAAAAAGGATTATTATATGAGCAATATTATCAAGATTCCTCACCGAAGACTTGGTACGCCAAACTTCATCTGAAAAGGGAGGAAATTATTTTAACCACATCAGATCTAATAATTATAATCTGAATGCAAGTCTGTTCATTATAATCTGTTTCGCAAGAATATGATCAGCTTGGAGGCTTGTCCTTGCGGGGATCCCCGCCAAGATATCAACCATGTAATTTTTTATTGTCCTATCACTTCTCCTAAGTCATTTCTCCAAACTCACTTCATTTATAAAACTGCATTGATAAAACTTTCCCGAATTCTCCTAGAGATATCTTTCCCCTATTAAAGAAACCTTCTGTCAAAATGTGCCGCCTTCTACTGGCTTTCTTCAAAGCCATTAACCTCCGCATTTGAACTTCTCCCGTCAGGTGTGTATCTCGCGAGCACTCTCGAGGGAGAGTAATAAAACAGATACCAACATAGTACTTCCATATTACTCATGATTTAGTTCTCGCTACTCGCCACTTGGGGCGATTATCTTGTTACTGGCCGTATCTTTGACTATATAACTATGGACTGCTAGTTGGCTTTCTCACGCTGTACCAATATGAAAAGTGCCCCCGCCAGTGAAATAACGAATCTCGGTACTTCGATGATATATCGTTAATTCACGTACAGTACAAATCTAAGTTTACCAGTTCAATGCTTGATATATATATTTTAATTTCATAAATCAAAGAAAAAAAATTATTACCCGAGTTTGGCCGGAATTGTCGTCATTTCAATGGTGAGTGCCATACAAAATTAGAAGAAGAAGATCAAAGAAAAGAAAGAAATTAACAATAACATTTTACTTCGAAATAAAATGATTTTATGAAGGAAAATGCATCACAATATCTAAACAAAAAAATCTTTTGAGACGCACGTTAACGAAAGCTGTAATTTTTAGCGATCAATAATATAATATCATTTGTATAGCTATTGAACATTACAATTATATTTATATAGCTATTAAATAATATATGTATGTTTATTAACTTGTTATCTATATTTTACTATTGTGTATTAAATTTATACATGTATATTTTATTTTGATTCTGCACTTTATTAAACCTAATAAAATAATGCAACATATGTCATATTCCATCTCTCTCTCTCTCTTTCTTTCTGTTTCATCATCATAACGTGACTGTGTTTCGATTTTTTGCCATTTTATTAGCAGAGGCACTTTTCATGTTGGTACAGCGTGAGAAAGCCAACTAGCAGTCCATAGTTATATAGTCAGAGATACAATCAATAACAAGATAGGCACGCATAATATTTGCTATGCGAGTCTTTTTATCTATCTTACAGAAAAGATAGGAAGAGTGGGGGTAACTAGCAGTCCATAATTATATAGTAGGTAGTCAAAGGGCCATATCGACTCCGTGATAGGAGTCGGGACCATTCACTAGCAAAGAAGAACAAGTAAAACTGCGTCTGAAGCGAACTGAGTATTTTATATTCAGATTAATGACATCATTACTTGCTTACTTTGGTAAAAAATTATCACATATCAACACAAGTTCATAACCTCACTTTGAAATGAGTTTACTCACTAAAGTACACGGTCTCGATCTTGTACAGATTATGGTTATAAAACTCAGTTGAATCTCGCTTGTCAAAATGCAAAAGGAACGCGCATTCAACTGAGTTATGATGTCACAAGTGAGAATTATTTGAGAATTGGTGTAAATGGAAAGCAACTATTATTGACGGAGTTTTGTAATTCAGCGAGTCAATGCGAGCGGGATATGTAATTTAAAAATGGACGCACTTTGAAAGGATGCATGTTGGCAAGAATGTATAAATAATGTATTTATACGGATACAATAATTCATCTTAAGTAAGGATACCGTTAACGATAATAGGTAATGTAAATCAAAGATTCATCCGAATATGATATAATGGTAGAACGTGTTATACAACATGTATGTATTAGTATAAATTATTATAATGATAGTATAAATTATTATAATGGCGAATTCAGTATTCCTCTTCTTCCTCGGTGTTAACAGCATCTTCTTGCACCTCGCGATAATCGAGCTCCAAAGCGGCTAGATCTTCCCGGGCTTCCGAGAATTCACCTTCCTCCATGCCTTCCCCAACAAACCTGCAAAATTTACATCGTGTTTTAGTAATGCCTATTACTTTAATCTTAGTTCAATTTAGTCTTTATCTTTTATCAATTTTAATTTAGTTTTAAATTATAAAAAATGAAGAGTATATCGTTTCTTTATACCTTATGCACGTGTTATTAAGTTCAATGTTAATTAATTTGCTTAAGTATACATGAGTCTCAATTTATTGTTTCACTTTCAGGAAATTTTTATTAATTCATCGCTAATCTAATCTTTTTTTCTGTATGTTAGACAACAAATAATGCTATCCATATTAAATAATATACATATTATTTGATGAATTTATTATCAAATTCGTCATAGTTTGGTTATTAGTGCAATTAGTTTGGTAATTAGTACAAGTTTTTTGCAGCTTTGATAATTCGTTTTGTTATCTATATGTCAGGAAAATGTTTTGCTCTAGCTGGTCTAGACACGTTAATGCTAAATGGCAAGCAATATTATTTACGCTCAACTCGAGCTTCTTACCAATGTACGAAAGCTCGTTTGGCATACATGAGATCAAACTTGTGATCAAGGCGGGCCCATGCGTCCACGATCGCTGTTGTGTTGCAAAGACAGCAAACAGCTCTTTCTACCCGCGCGAGATCTCCACCTGGTACAACGGTGGGTGGTTGATAATTTATTCCCACCTGTTAACATGGGAATACAGTGATACTTTACTTACTGTAATCGACTTAAAAAATATGGAAAAATCAATTAAGAGGAGTTTATAAACATTCATTTTATATAATAACAAATCGTAAATCCTTAAAATAACTCTCTAAATTTCTTGGAGTGAAATCTTATTTCAAAAGAGTGAAAATATTTGCACTCTTGAATAAGAGTGGCAGATTTTCTTTTTTTGAAGTGAGATTTCTTTGGAGCGAATCTCACTTAAAAAAAAAGCTTGCGCAGTTTAAATGATTATAAGGATATACCGGATTGTAAAATTATCGGTATCAGATTTCCGAAAAGAATATAACATCAGATATCCGGGAAAGCAATTTTTCAGATATCCGATATTTTCCGGATATTCAATCGGATTCTGGGACAATGTCAACTTACGATTTGTAACAAAAAAAGCTGAGTAAAAAACAAAAAAGGGAACGAAGGAAAAGGGACTGTACGGGAAAAATAGTGATAACAATTATGATTTTAATATTATCGTCCGAGTTTGATTATCAATAGAGATGATAACTGTAGAGAAAAAAAATTGTAATTTTGCAACAATATATTATATAAGATATTATAGCATTATGAGTACTCTTATTTATAGAATTTATATTTGAATACTACAATAATAATATCTGACTATCCGGTCGAATAGTAAAAAAGTGCCGGATAATACCAGATATCGGATACTTTTTGGATATGCAGTGCATCCTTACAAATGACTATAAATATATTGTAGTATATATGTATGTGCATACATAGTATAGTTATGCAAATTTACATGAAATTATTAAGCATTAAAGATCCAGCTTCGACCACGCGTTATACTTATATACTTATATGTATATAGGCCATTATTTCCTATTTCTTATTGATTGTGCTTTCATATGTACGATATCTAATAAGATTCTTTTGGATTTTTCTTATTTTTTGAATTCTTCTACCTTCTAAAAAGAAACTTTCTTTGATCATCTTATAGTACCTTGAATCCCGTCGGGCACCATTCGACGAATTGCACATGCTTCTGGCGTTTTATCATCGCGATCGCCGCGTTCACATCCTTAGGTACCACATCGCCTCTGTAGAGCAAACATACTGCCATATATTTTCCCATGCGCGGATCGCAATTCACCATTTGATGATTCGGTTCAAAGCAGGAACTTGTTATTTCTGAGACGGTCACTCTCTCATGTCCAGCCTTCTCTGCTGACAGAACCGGAGCATACGTAGCCTACATGACGATAAAACATAATACATAATTAGCACATAATTAAGATTAGCACATAATTATCGATTAAATAATCGTTTGATTTTTTTTTTTTTTACGTTATAAAAATATTAAATTTATAAACTTTAACAAACGGCGCTTACGAGTGGAAAGTGAATACGTGGATAAGGTACTAAATTCGTCTGGAATTCAGTGAGATCGACATTCAGGGCTCCATCGAATCGTAAACTGGCGGTGATGGATGAAACCATTTGTCCAATCAGCCGATTCAGATTCGTATAAGTCGGTCGATCGATATTTAAGTTCCTTCTGCATAACTCATAAATGGCCTATGGATATAACACACGCGATTGTAGTGACAGACTTCGCCATTACCACTTCGTGTAGAGCAGCGAATATAGCTACGATATTGTCCTAATAAACTTTATTTTAGACAGCACGCAAGCTTTCTACCCAACATTTCTGCTAGTAGAATCTATTTTTAAGAAAAATTGCCGTTTCGCAATCGATTTGTCAATAACTGAGTTGTAAAAGCGTTCACGAAATTCAGACAATGTAATAAATTTTACAAATATAAGATTTATTATATCGATTTTACATTTGACGTTATGTAAAAGTACACACCTGATTATCTACAATGAAAGCCACTTCGCTGTGCTCTAACGTCGGATGAGTGTACAGAATTGCATTGTAAGGTTCCACTACTGCAGTCGATACCTATGAAAAATGTAAACGCTTTCGTAATGAAGAAAACAATTAGATAGTTAAACAAATCGATAGTTTCATAGTTTATTGGGAAAGTAGACTATTCACTAAATAATATCAAGGATGCAAACAGAAATGTATATATGTATACAGATTATATTATTATATTATTATTTAAATTAAATTAAATTAAAATTTAATTATATCATTTGAATTTTTTTCAAAGAAATCAGAGTTCTTGAGCAAAAATCGAAATATTCCGTTTAGGGAGAATAATATTACCTGTGGGGCTGGATAGATACTAAAGGTCAGTTTACTTTTCTTCGGATAATCTGCGGACAGTTGTTCCATAAGCAGACTCGAGAATCCGGAGCCTGTGCCACCGCCGAAAGAATGGAAGATTAAGAAACCTTGCAAGCCCTTGCACTGCTCTGTTAGTCTGCGTATTCTATCCAAAGTGAGATCTATGATTTCTTTTCCTGAAAAATCGCAAGATCAATTAATAATACATGACTATCACTCTATTAAAAAACACATTTAATGATCTTCTCTTACAAAATAAAGCTTACAGAATGAATTTATATAGAATATTTTTGGTCAATCACTTATACGTTATAATTAAGCTTCAATCTTTTTACAGATTTACAATTGTGACGTAAATTGAAGTACCTATTGTATAATGGCCCCTGGCATAATTATTAGCCGCATCTTCCTTCCCGGTAATCATTTGTTCCGGATGGAATAATTGTCTGTAAGTACCCGTGCGCACTTCATCTAAAGTATTAAAAATATAATTCGTTATTATATCTTCTTAACTCTCTATTAGTCATTAATGTGTAACACACATTTTCAGAAAAATTTACAGTGATTAAATGATCGAGACCAGGATTAAATAATCAATGATCAAATGATCAAGACGTAACTCTCAGCAATGTAAAGTTATAAAAATTTGTATCTTACAACTCAACAATCAATAATTTCTTTAATAAATGAATTTTTCAATTATAATATTCGGAAGTCAACTATTCTTTCTAGGACACTTGCCTACCACCGTTGGCTCGAGATCGACCAAAACCGCTCGTGGGACATGCTTCCCCGAACCAGTCTCGGAAAAGAACGCGTTAAAGGAATCATCTCCGGAGCCCACACTAACATCGCTAGGCATTTGTCCGTCTGGATGGATACCATGCTCCAGACAATAAAGCTCCCAACAGGCATTTCCCATTTGTACGCCCGCTTGTCCTATGTGAATGGATATACATTCCCGCTGCGAATAAACGAGTAAATACTTGTGCAATATATCCCCATATATTTCATAAATACATACGCAATAAAATAATATAATTCGATCAAAATCCAAACGAAATTATTTATAAAAATAATTCTCTCTCTCTTTTTTCCTCTCACTCATATTTTCGATTCTTTGTTACTTGATTGAAATAAATTCTTTCGCCTTTTCTCAAATAATGATAAATAAATAATAGAAATAGTGAAAAAACTTATATGGATAATAGAAAGTTTAGTTTAGCTTATTTTGCTTTTCGTTATTTGCCGCACTGAAAAGAGCTTGGTTGCATTAATTGGAATTTTGGTTGAAAATGGATAAATCAGAATTTTTTGGTTCAATCTATTATTATAGTTCTAAGATAAGATATTAATCATCTAGAAGTTTGAACGATACATCAGATTATTTAAAGGTTATGCTTGTTAAAATGCTTCCTCAAGGAGCAATCATGATTGTATAATGTAATTATAATCACGTCACTGTAAAGAGATATTGTTTGTTATTGTAAATTTTCGTATTACTTTAAAGTTGAAACTGACGGAATAGTCCCACCCTATGAGAGGAGAAAGGAGGGTATATACATTAAAGACAAAATCATTTCACTACAAGTCGCATAAATGATCATATTCGCTTCACATCACACACTTTATTTAAGTATTATTACTACCTTAGATATCGTTAAAAAATTCACGATAGCCTTTACTGAGTTCATAATACAATGCGAGTAGATCGTTACGGATGTATTACACATATTTTCAAAATAATGAGAAAATTACAGAAAATTATTCTAGATTGCATTTAAAAATAATACAAAAAAAAATATCAGCAATTTAGAGCCTGCATCAAAAGTTATTTCAATAAGAAATTGAAATTTTTTTAGCTTTACTTTAATGGAAATAAAATAAATGTAATACGAAGAACTACGAGCCAAAACAATTCAAATTTAATGTAACAAACTAACAGATAATAATTATAATATAAATATAATTCAGAAATGGTTCATATCAAAAGACAAAAACAGGGTTTAAATAGGCAAAATGACACGGAATCATTATCGGAATCCTATCTTCATATTATATTGTACAATCTCTTTCCCCTTCCTAATTTCTTTCTTCTTTTTTCCTCACTCCTAATTTTTACCCTTTCCATACCGATAATATTTCTCTCTTTTAGTTTGACTCTCATATAACTCTTATTATGCAACAGTATTTTAGACAGTAAGGATCATCTCTATCACATTTGCTTACACGCTAATCTTTATTTTATTTTATATATTGACTCGATCATACTTTATTACATTTTATTATATATCATATAATACTACACAACACAGTTTGCTTATTAAGATATCAATTTTTATTATGTACACATTTCTCTTTTTACACTTTATATTTTAAATTATATGTACCTAATTTATTTTTTCATTTTATTTAATACATTTCTGTATATTAACGAATTCTTCCATTTTTTATTCGATTGACTATTTATAAAATTTCCAATTGCTATGAATCTTTTATTGGCGTTACCATATTTTGTCATTCAATTTTATACTGCGATTCTATTGGCGTTACCATATCATGTCATCAAATTTGTACTGCGATTCTTCAGAAATTTTGATTAACAATGAATTATTACGTGCAAGACTTTTACATCGGAGCTTATGGATTACATCTTAATTGAAATCTATATAATTATATATTTTTTTATGTATCCATTCTCGATCTTAACCGTTATCGTTATATTCTAACTATAATTAATAAACGTTTTTAACATTGGTAATGAGGTTGAAATGTCTGTTTATATTCTCAATTGCTCTTGTATTATCTGTTTATTACATTAAATTTGAATTGTTTTGGCTCGTAGCCCTTCATATAACATTTATTTTATTTAATATAATACAATACTTTGAACCATATGACATTATGTATTTTAATGTGGAAATGTATGAAAAAGATTTTATAAAATAAAAACAAAAATCTCAATTTTTAATACTGTAAATTGTAAATACTGTTTAAAGTATAAAGTCAACATAAATTTAATGTAAAATTTTATTGTGATTCAGAGATTAATTATTCTGTAAATAAATAAAATTTATTTATAGAACAATCATGTTGTGTTAAGATGATAAAACTTAAAGATTAATTTTTGTATGAATATAAAAATACTCATGAAAAGATTTTTTGAATCGCTGATTTCAAATATAACATAAAAAGCACATTACAAAAAAATTAATTTTGCAACAAATTGTTATAAATAAATTAAACAATTACAATTTGAAATAAAACCGAAAAGAGAATAACTCCCATTAAGTATGAAGAATTTCTATTTTTGATTGAGAAGCAGATCTTAAATACTTTATTTATTTAATGGATTTATACATATTTCTGATTCCATATTTTACAAACCACGCACCGAATTGCTTTTCCGCATTCATGCACAGAATCAGGATAGTAATATCAAATCTTAAATTGTACAAGCAATTTAATAATTTTTTATACTAATAAGCATGTGGTAAGCATATTCATTATTTTAAACTTCATTATTTAGTCACTTTTCGAGTGTATTTCAGCTCTCTATACATTATAATGAAACTTTGTATAAACCATTTTGAATATGTATCTACTTAAAGTAAATATTGATCAAAAAGTTCGTGCCATTTTTTTTAGCATAAAATTGTATTTACAATATCTTCGTTAAAAATAAACAAAAAAAAAACTTTTGAAGCTTGAAATCTCTACTTTCTGAAAGATTACTATGTTTTTTGAGTTTCTGTGAGTTTGATAATTTTTACATACAGAAAACTACGAGCTAATCGAAAACTACGAAAAACGAACTAATTAAAAACTACGAAAAAATTGAAAATTTTCTTCTAATTTTGGATCTATTTGCCCACAAAAAAAAATTGTGAAAATTTTTGGTTTCCCAACGTTTAAAATTTTTCCTACAAAATCGTTTTTTAAAAATATTCTTAAGATTTTTTTATTACTGAATTATCGCGAATTAAATAAAAGAAGCTTTTTGATTTTGATTGCTCATAACTTCGTTAAAAATCATCGTATCGCAATTTAAAAAACAAATTTTTAAAGCTAAAACTTTGCTCTATTGAATGGTACAATAACACATAATAACAACAACAAATTCTATGTATAATTTTGAGTTAAAAAAACAGCACGAACTTTCTGACTAACCCAATAATTATACGAAAAATTGAGATTTTGTCACTATTTTTAACATTTTAACATTACAATAAACAATAATAAAAGAAACAAATAAAGTAAATAAATTATAAAAATCTATTGTTCAATAAAAATAGAATATTGTAAGTACCTTTTATATGTGTATAATTTAAAAAAGTATAATAAGAATTGAATAAAACATTAACTGAATAAAACACACAATAATAAAAGAAAAAAGAGCTAAGAGCCAACGTTAGTTCTTGAGTCAACATTTAATATTTTTCAAATTTGTAACAAACGTTTCGTTCTTAAACTAGGACTTTTGTTAATACATAAAAATAATTCCTACTTTACATAATAAATCAAATATTAAAAACCGTTAAATATTACAAATTAAAAATCTTCTAAGTATGTGGTGAATCTAATTTCCGTGCTTCGTTGTCATTTCTTCATTGATCAATATATTTCATTAAATATCAGTTGTACTCTTATGCTAAATATATAAACACATTTATAAAAATAGATACAATACATCCTTAAATGTAAAATATTATTAAATATCAGTACTTGTGTTTTATTATATTAATTACCTTCTTTGCCATTCTTAAAAAAGGTTTCGTTTCTGCGTTAATTATTATAAATGAATACAGAATATTCGACAATGCACTTTCACAAAAAAATGTTTATAACAGTATCAAGACACAAAGATGCTTAGTTAATTCACATTAACCGATTTTATTAATCGTCTGTTTTTTTTGCATCAAATGTTCACTCAACGTAATTGAATCTCTTATGATCAGTTTTACAACAATTTTTACTGATAATATTAAGTTCACTTAAAAAATTTCTACAGATTGCACAGATATTAGCTATTCTAAGGAAAATAAATAATTCAAAGAGTCTATACGAAATTTGAACTTGATGAAGTCGATTCCGTTGTATTTGTATTTATTTGTTATTTATTTCTATCCATTCATTTTTCTATCCTATCATTTTACGTTAATCAAAAATTAAAATAATGAACTTTTTTTTATGGGACTATAAATATATAAATAATTATATTATTCCCACGTGATACAATTATTCACATGTTTATGCTGTCCCACAGTAAGATATCCCACCACAAATGATACCAAGTTTTTGATTTAAAAAACACGCGATTAGGTAAAGTCTGTCGAGCGAGCTTAACAAGCCTTAACGAGACTGAGCAAAGGAATACGAGCTATGCTTAACAAGGGATGATTACCGGTGGCCCAGACATTGTCGACTAAAGCAATGTCTTTATCTGTCAACAAGGTCTGGTAGAAAAATGCCACCTTGACCTAATGTGTCCCCCATGGATAATTCAGTCGTACCCTAAAAGTGAGCATCTATATTGGCATGCCTATAGCCGACCTACTTCCTGACTTAAGGACGCACATGGGCGATGTGTCGTCTCTCATGCAATAGGATATTATACACTCTATATCTGCATGATACGGTAATAATCGATTTTTTACAGGTTGACACACTGTAACCATAGCAGCTTAATCGAATATCAAACTGCATACTCGCATATGACGCGATTGCATCGATTCAATCAAAAAGATTTCACTGTGATCTTACAATTAATAGACGTAAGAGACATCTCAAATCTGTCATTCAATATATAATACAACGCAGGCTCTATCGATCTCAGCTGAATCTTAGTGCTTAAATATTTGTAAAACGGAATATGTATAATATAATATGTATGATATAAATTCATATCGACAATATTATTTAAGCACTAAGATTCAGATCGATAAGATCTTCGTCATTCAATTGTATATTCACATTTGCGATTTTAAAAATATTTTGTTTATTTGTCGTTCAACTCTCATAAAATGTTTGAGCCAAATGGAATCCATCCTAAATCTTGAAAATATTATTCTCGCTTCAGAGAAAAATATTCGATATAAGCGTATGTTAACGTGTAAATATTTGGACATCCTAAATAATATATAATAATGTGGTTATAACAATAATATGAGTTTTAGAAAAACTGTGAATGAGCAATGCGAATGGCGCATTCGTAATATTCTCAATTTTACTAATGTATGTTTACTATGCTGTCGATTGACATGCATTCAAAGCGTAGATCGATACTTCATAATTCACGTTTTTTTATGTAGTTGAAATATATAAGAAAATAAAAAACCTATGCAGTATCAATAAGATTGATATCTAAATTTCTTTTGATGTTTCAAAAATATATTAATTATTTTGAAAAATTTATGCATAGTAATATTTAGCTTTGTTTAATTAACAGTAAGAAATCGTAACAGAGTTAAACTAAAAGATTCTGTTAAAAAAAAGTATTGCTTTCAATATTAAGAAAGTTATTACATAGAAATTTCTTTAATATTTTACGAAACTTAAAATTATTTTCGGACAGAGATCTTTTTCAATCGATCTTTTAATCATTCCTCCTTGAGTTTCTTTCCCCACTCATTTAATCTACTCGAAAAAACTTTTAATTGACCTCATAAGCTCTAAGCGAACATTTAAAAGCATAACGTGATATTTTCCTAACTGTATACTTGGTGTATCTTATGACGTGTATAGCATGCATATTACACGCTTACCAAGAATAGCGTTGTTGTATAAATATCTACAATTCTCGTTATTAGGATGTTTACAAATGTATACACTTGTGTAACTAATAGAAGAATTGCATATTAATACAATTAAAATTCATACATTTTAATAGTATGCATGAAAATGACGATAAATAAGTGACAGTATAAATGTGTAAATAACAATAATTTCAAAAAATTACGATTTTTAATATTGAATATTCGAAAAATGTTGAAAATATGCTGAAATGTTTGCTATCTGAGACAAAATATTTCGTTAAAACGACAAATAATGTCAGGCTTACTACCTGTACGTGATTTTTATGTAAATGCACTTGTATGTAAAAAGATCTATTCTAATTATTAGGTGTAGTAAAAAGTCATCGCGTTTTTTTAAAAGACATCTATCAGTAAAAACCGCAATTACTTTCTTACCAACAATATAAATATATCTTGATAGAGTAAAGTTTCAGCTTTAAAAATCTCTTTTTTAAATTATACGATACGACAATTTTTAATGGAGTTATGAGCAATTAAAGTCAAAATAATTCTTTTATTTAATCCGCGATAACTCA